GGGCTTGGCCGCGGGACGCGCGGGCGCGGGCGAGCCCTTGGCCGAGCTGTTGTATGGCGCGGGCGACTAAAGTGGGCCACAGTTCCAGCTACCCATTTCCAATTTTTCTCTCGCTCTTATCAAATGGCGATTCTTTGCGATAGAACGAGACGACATGATCGGAAATGGGTAGCTGGAACTGTGGCTCATATTACGTGGCCTACGGCGTTTATAGGGGACTACCACAGCCTAAAGACTAACGCCTGCTTTCACAAAGATTACTATGAGGTCTCACAGTGCGCGTGGACGCACAGGGTCACACATGAACCAATCACAGAGCTCTATTCAACGCTGTGCGTTCGATTTGCTGCTTCACTTATGCAAGCATCGTTTGTGAATACAGGCGTGAGTTTCTTGCGCTGCTTCTTCTCAGCACTGGCCCATTTACTGTCCCGAAGTAGTGGTAGGATTAATACTGGGGGTTTTATGAGTTTTAAAAAGTGGCCAAACATGGTATAGCCCGACCAGGAACATAAAAACCCTCGCCATGTTGCGGAAAACTAATGGTACTAATTTCTTTTAATGGCAACAGTTACTGAAAACTTCATTGACATGTCACCTTGCATGTCATTAATTTGCTGTCAAAGTGTAAACAAACTTTATTTTAAAAGTGTGCAATTGATTTTGTGAATTAAATTGCTGAAATTTTTTTTTTTTCGTGAAAGAAAAGTGGTTCACAATGTGTTAAAGTATTTATCGAAGAGAAATACTAAGGTTTCGGACAAATTTTCATTGAATAATGTTTCCGACAAAGATTGTCAAATTGACTGACATGTTTATCGTATAGTACAGTCCACTATGAAAATTAACTGTGGTTTGTTTTAACTACCTATTTTAAAGTTTTTTGTCACTTTGTAAGTATTGAATTTTATGGAATTGGGAAAGAAGTACCGAGTTTGAAGCGTTCATGAGCAGACATTGCAGTTGAATATTCAAGTTCTGAATTTGATTATTGATGAATAATAAAATAAATCCTACTAGCTCGATTGATGGTTTCATTTAATTAATTTAAACCAGGTTACCTATATAATCTTTTTTCGTTAATTTATGAAAATATCAAATTAGCCCGTAATCCTGAATCCTGTGATACATAAAGTTAGCCTATTAATTTAACACAGGTACGACTGTACTCAGTGTTGCACTATCAAATGCATTTGACGCGCCTCTATGCCAGGGTTTTTATGTTCCTGGTCAGGCTATATACAGAATAGGGATAGCCAAAACCGGTACTGCTGCCCTACAAGTGTTGGTATAGTAGTACCTTGGGGTTGGCGGCGGTCTTGGCCGCGGGCCGCGCGGGCGCGGGAGAGCCCTTGGCCGAGCTGTTGTATGGCGCGGGCGATTCCCGCTCCGCTTGGCGGTACGCGGGTTGGTACTCATTTGAGTTGCGGTACGGCTGAAACGTAAACGCTCAGTCAGTAAAAGCCTATTGTTTTTAACCTATAAGCTTATAGTGAAAGCCTATTGGTTTTATTTTTATTCGCAACTAGTTAAAGAGGTTTTTTTATTGAGTGAAATCGATGTAGGTCGCACAATAGACTAGTTATAACATGTGCTCATGGCAATTCGTTAGAAGACGTTTGCTAAATTTCTTCTTTCTGTCCTTTAATAACGTTTCGATCAGATCATAATTTGCAAAGTCAGAAAGAAAAATACATTATTAATTATCAACACAATGAAGAAACAACCTATTTTTTTATTGTAAGAATAGAAAAGCCCATCGCATAAAGTTCCTACCGCCCATATGGGCCTACCCCTATAATAAAAAAAAATACCGTCTAGACTTTTTTATACGATCTATTCGAACCGCTATTAAGATAACCACAAAATGTCATTTTTACTCAAATGGTTTTGAAACTTGTTAAAAGATATTAAGGTCTAAAACACGCACGCTACGATAGCTACTCTCGAACTTGTAACCTCTATCACTAATAACCCGACATTGGACAGCAGTCCATTGGCCATATTTAAAAAACATTTGACAAAAATTTTGATCCGACACTAGACAGCGATTCATTGGCCAAAGCGATTCAAAGAGTAGGTACAAAATATTTGAACATCCAGATTTTTGCCCGACACTAGACAGAAGCCTATTGGCCGTAAAATTTGAAAATCCTGTTTTTTTACCGGCACTGGACAGTGGCGCATTGGCCATAAATTACAAAAAACTCAGATTTTCGGACGTTAACAGTAATATGATACTTACAGGCTTATTGGGATGTGGAAAGGCTAATTCGTGTCGTGGCCGCTTGACGCTTAAATCTAACAGCGGCTCCGCTCGCGGCTCTATGTGTAGCACCACCACTCCGTCCTGGCAATAAAATACGGAGGTTGTTACAAAAAGCCTAGATAAAGTCCGGTCGCCGAGCACGTAGAATTTGCGACTGAGCGACGGGCGGCCGCAGTGAGCGTGCGAGCGCGACAGCAATATAATTACGCGCGAGCGATAAGGATGGGTAGCTTGGGGTCATTGGACGAAATTCTACGTGATCGGCGATCGGACTTTAGATCAGTATTCTAATAGGGATGTATCATAACCAGAGTTTGAATTAGTCCGTCAGTAAACTTATCAAAAAATACTCGACACGTATTTATCACTTTTTCAAACTAAAGAGATAAAGGGCGCCAAAGTTCAAAATAAAAGACCCGCGATGGAGCAGAAAAGTTCTCGAGTGGCCACACCAGGGCCGGAAGACGTAGCGTGGACAGGCCCCCCACTATGTGGACATCTGGTGAAGGTCGCGGCAGGTGATTGGATGCGGGCAGCGCAGGACCAGAAAATGTGCTTCTGTCCAGCAATGGACGACACTTGGCAGAAACGAACAGTCGCATACCTTCTGCTGCTGTTGCTGCTGCTGCTGCTGCTGTTGCTGCGGCTGCTGCTGCTGCTGCGACTGCTGCGGCTGTGCCAGCGGCGTGATGGTGGCAGGTCTGTGAGGTGACCGCGGTGACGTGCGCTGGTGAGAACTGTTCACTACGCTGAGGGTAGCTAATGTTTCCCGACCGCCGGTCGTTGAGCTTACCTAAAAGGAGAATAGGGTTTGAAGGATGGCGACAATTGCTCAGTGGTTTGAGGCAAAAGACCAGTGTAATAAACATAGTACAAAAAAGGGGTTCTCGAGTTTTCGAGTGGAGCTGGAGACAGCTTGTTTTCAGAGTAAACGTTTGTAAGTGCAACGGGACGAAAGCTACAAGAATATTGCTAGCACAGAAATTGGGTGGTTAAGTTAGAGAACAGGAAATTTTCCATCCAGCAGAGCTATTACCTAACGCTGTTTGCATAGTTTAAACTTTCAGGTCTATGTATCACAGTTGCTCATCATGGCATTTCGCTTTGCGTGAAAGTAATAGAATCATTAGAAACTTCGGATAATGTTTATGGAAGTAGTCCTAAATAAGTTGAAAAATATTCAGAGTAGTCTCGCAGCAGTGGACATCAGTGACATCAGTGTTAGTACACTGTTGTACACAAAGATGTTACAAATAAATGAAAATATTTATAAAAAATGTACTCACTTTCAACTGGTTAGGTTTCTGCGCGGGCGCCGGTTGCTTGTTCTTCGTCAAGCTAATCTCGATCATATTCAGCACCACGTCTCGCACCGTGAGCGGCGCGGCGTGGGGCCCGTTGCGCAGCGCCCCGGCGCCCCCGTTGGGCCCCGCGGGCCCCGTGGGCCCCGTGGCGGCGGGGGCCACGCTGCAAGGCGTGGAAGGGGGCGCCGACGATACTGGGGGGAGAGATGTGGGAGGGAGGATCTGTGGGGGAAAGGTGTTTGTTAGAAACATACTCAACATCAAATAAACTGCACCTACCGCGACGCGAAACTTTAAAGATTTTCTTCTGACACAATCATGGTGCCCCAACAATATTGGTGTTATTTGAAAGCCCAATAAATATCCTTAAAGAAAAACACATTTAAAGTTTTTATAAACAATTAACAGGTACCATAAATGTGACTTGAAAAAAGGCCTCACTTGGAGCTCACCTCTGGGACCAATTAGACCAATTTTTGTGGTTAAAAAACCAAATAATGATCTCACGTGTCCTCTTTAACAAATGGATAGCGATTAATCCCAATTTACCAGTTTTATAGCCATAAAAGTTGGTTCAAGCGTAACTACCCATTTCTTTAAGAAAAGACTGGATCATTCTAAGGACACATCTTTGGGGTAAAAACCTTTCCTTTAATGAAATAAAGTTTAGAACTAGGCTTTTAAATGGTACCAATGTTGGTGGGAAGTGGGGATGCATACGTTTGATAAGTGCTTGTCGCGGGAGGTGCGATTTATTTGATGCCGAGTGTATTGTGTGTTATATTTAGAAGTAGAGAAAGAAAAACAATTTATATCGATATCACTGTCGTATCAACAGCAAATATACCGGTGAGAGCTAGACAGTTGCACATTTTTCAAGCGCTTTTCAAAGACAATTTATGAATAGAACTTTTCTATTAGACAACTGATAAAATAATCATTTATAGTCCAATGCTGTCAGATTCATGTTACATGAGACGTGGTCGCTTACTATGGGCCTCATAAGAAGGCTGAAGGTCACCCAAAGGGCGATGGAGCGTGCTATGCTCCGAGTTTCCCTGCGTGATCGAATCAGTGAAGAGATCCGCAAGAGAACCAAAGTGACTGACATAGCCCGCAGAATCGCTAAAATCAAGTGGCAGTAGGCGGCGCAAATTGCTAGTAGAGCTGACGTCCGCTGGGGCAGAAAAATTATTGAGTGGCGACCACGAGCCGAAAGACGTAGCGTGTACGGCCTGTACACGCTACGTCTTTCGGCTCGTGGTCGCCCACTAGGTGGACCAACGATCTGGTGAAGGTAGCGGGAGGTTCCTGGATGCAAGCGGCGCAGGACCGGTCTTTGTGGAAATCCTTGAGCATTTGTACAGCAGTGGCCGTCTTTCGGCTGAAACGAACGATCGAACATGTTACACCAACCTTAGCACTAGGCGCGTCATTCTCCTCATCAGCGGTTTCCGTCGCCGACGAGTCGTACTCGTCCCTCCTCGGCCTCCGGGGCGCGGCGGCGTCCGTCCGGGGCCCCGGCAGCGGCGGCGCGGGCGCGGGCGGGGCGCCGCCGGGGCCCGCGCCCTCCGAGTCGGCGGAACTGCCACCGGTCTCGTCGGAGGAACTCCGAGCGGTTGAGAGGCGTTCCGCTGCGGCCCCCGCTAGGCATGTCTCGAGTTGGTACTTTTTTCTGTGGATAGATAGTGGATTTTAATCCTTGATCATGGATAATTGTGGTATGTAGAAAAACCCCGATTATGGTATTTAAATACTGCAAGTTATTTTTAATTCGTACTGCCCGTTCAGTACGAATTTGATCCTTAACTTCGAACTCCTCTCGTGATCCTCTGGTTCATTTCGTAGCAGGTCCAATGATACTCTTTCGCCTGGGTCAAGATTGGCCTTTACTGGTTGGGTTTTTATTGGCGGTCTAGGTGTAGATCCTGGCTACACAGGGGTTACAGCGGTAGGAACGGAAGATGGGAATAATCCCAATTCTAGGTAATATAGAGTCGGCAGAGGTTGTTTCTTGCCGCCGCGTAGTTTCTAGAAGTGTCGCTTTAGTGTTAGCGACATACCTGTAACTGAAGTAGCCTACGTTGAGAGTATCGGGCGAGTATCTAACGCATCTATGTCACCCATCCTATTGGTTGATTAGTGTCAACATGGTTTTGGATATGTCAGTAGAATCACGGCTATTCGCTAAAACTTCGCTAAAAGCTACACGCCTGTAGGACAAGTAGCTTTACCTTATGCGTAGCGGGCGTGTTTCTAACGCATTTGGTCAACTATCCTATTGGTTTATAGTGTCAACATAGTTCTTGAAATGTCAGTAGGGTCATGGCTATTCAAGTCACATAAAGCTACATACCTGTAGGTAAAGTAAAACGCCTTCAGCGCTGCCGGCGACCTCCCGGCGGCCGCTCCGGCGCGCTCCCAAGCTGTCCCGTGTTCCCTCAGGAGCGCTCGGAAGCGGGACACCTCCTCCTCCGAAGGCTCTGCGCTCTCGCCCGCCGACTCCAGCCGCCGGGTGTACTAGCATAGAGTTGGCTACATGCCAGCTAAAGTAGCCGACAGCTCACGTGATAGGACCCCAAAGATGCTTATTGTCCGTGCTGTAGATTTACTCTTCAGTAGGTAGGTGTAGTGGGTAGGTAGATAGATCCTGGCTACACAGGAGCTGTAGCGGTGGGAACGAAAGATGGGAATAGTCCCGTAAGCCATGAGGTGAAGTAATAGACAGCAGAGGTGCGCTTCCAGTTTCCACGATGCTTCTTGTCGCCGCGTAGTTTCTAGAATAGTGTCGCTTTCTACATACCTGTATCTGAAGTAGCTTACGTTGAGAGTATCGGGCGAGTATCTTCCGCATCTATCACCTATCCTATTGGTTTATAATGTCAACATGGTTCCTAAAATTGAGGTTGTGTTCCCCAGTCGATGAGGCACATAATGTCGTGCCCTGCGTGCAGTTTGGCAAGATTAAATGAATATTACTAGCGAAGCCACTCTTGTAGCAGAGTTTTGGGCTGACACTGTGTAGATTTGTTATCAGTTATTACCTGTAGGTAAAGTAGAAGGCCTTCAGCGCTGCCGGCGATCTCCCGGCGGCCGCTCCGGCGCGCTCCCAAGCGGTCCCGTGTTCCCTTAAGAGTGCCCGGAAGCGGGACACCTCCTCCTCCGACGGCTCTGCGCTCTCGCCCGCCGACTCCAGCCAAGTGGTACTAGCATAGAGTTGGCTACATGCCAGCTGAAGTAGCCAACAGTTCACGTGATTGGACCCCAAAGATGCTTACTGTCCGTGCTGTAGATTTACTCTTCAGTAGGTAGGTGTAGTGGGTAGGTAGATAGATCCTGGCTACACAGGAGCTGTAGCGGTGGGAACGAAAGATGGGAATAGTCCCGTAAGCCATGAGGTGAAGTAATAGACAGCAGAGGTGCGCTTCCAGTTTCCACGATGATTTTTGTCGCAGCGTAGTTTCTAGAATAGTGTCGCTATAGTAGTTACATACCTGTATCTGAAGTAGCTTACGTTGAGAGTATCGGACGAGTATCTAACGCATCTATGTCACCCATCCTATTGGTTTATAATGTCAACATGGTTCCTAAAATTGAGGTTGTGTTCCCCAGTCGATGAGGCACATGATGTTGTGCCCTGCGTGCAGTTTGGCAAGATTAAATGAATATTACTGGCGAAGCCACTCTTGTAGCAGAGTTTTGGGCTGACACTGTGTAGATTTGTTGTCAGTTATTACCTGTAGGTGAAGTAGAAGGCCTTCAGCGCTGCCGGCGACCTCCCGGCGGCCGCTCCGGCGCGCTCCCAAGCGGTCCCGTGTTCCCTCAGGAGCGCTCGGAAGCGGGACACCTCCTCCTCGGAAGGCTCTGCGCTTTCGCCCGCAGATTCTAACCGCCGGGTGATCCGCTTGAAACACGCCAGGCAGCATTTGCTGAGCTCGCTTGGTATTTCTGCAAAGAATTTGAAAATTAATATAACAGAACTCATTCAGCACGCTTTTAGGACACAGGGACTCACATTTATTTATTTATTCATTTGCAATAACATATTCAGCACATACAGGTATACATAGTACATTTGCTCCGCGTCAAACCGAACAGTCAATTAGTTTACGAACACAATTTTTGAAAACATTGTCGGCTCTCAACAACGGATGGGGGACGCCCTCTGCCCCATCTAGGGGACATAGGACCTTAAGTCAAGTAAGTCAACAAGGGAAGGGACGCTTGCAGGTCCCGCAGTGTAGGGCGGAATGACTAGGAAAAGAGTCGTCATGTCTAGTTTCCAAGACGTCTCCCACAGAACAGTAGTGGGAAGACCCCGGGCTTTTGATGGATTCAAATCTCCCATAACTCGCCGTTGACCTCCAGAATGGATAGGACATTTTCGGGGGCCAAAAAGCCTTCTCGTCCTGCTCATCTCAGTCCTGTACAGCTTCTCATCCTGCTCGACCCTATGGGAAGTATCTAGGCCTGTCCACTTACGTAGCTCCTCCAATAGCGGTCGCTTGAGTGAGTTGCTATTACTATTATATACTATTCTTACCGTTAGATAATTCCTGGCAATAAGTGGTGACTGAGTTTGTTCCGGCGTTTCTTCTCAGCACTTGCCATATGTTTGTCTCGAAGCGCTGGTAGGGCCCAAAAGATAAGGAGACATGTAAAGTGCCCCATAAGGGCTACCTTTTCTTTTTTTATTATTTTCTATTGACGTTCATAAGTGCCACTTGTGGTCTAAACTGAATAAATATTTTTGATTTTGATTTTGATTTTTTGCTAAGGTTTTCTTGCTGAACTAGCTAGCTTGACCGGCTCTTCAGTTGACCTGTAAGATCTATAAGTGTCTATGTTTACGCAGCTCCTTCAGCAGCGGGCGCTTGAGCGCGTGGCACGGCTCAAGTGTGTATAGGCCACTTTCGTGTATGGATAGGCCTTCTTTCCTGCTCAATCCTGTGGGAAGTGTACTTACGTAGCTCCTCCAACAGCGGCCGCTTGAGCGCGGGGCTGAGGTCGTGCCAGCTGAACTAGCTAGCTTGTCCAGGTGTTCGGTTGACCTGTCAGACCTATGGGATATATCTAGGCTACTAAACTCACGCAACTTCAGCGGCAGCGGGCGCTTGAGCGCGGAGAGCTTCGACCAGCTGATCTGTCCGGCTCTTCAGTTGACCTGTAAGACTTATAAGTGTCTAGGCTGCTCCACTTTCGTATCTTCTCCAACAGCGGGCGCTTGAGCAGGTGTCAGAGGCCGTCCGTCTGAATTAGCTAGCTTCCAGGTCTTCGGTTGACCTGTGAGACCTATGGGATATATCTAGGCTACTCCACTTACGTAGCTCCTCCAGTAACGGCCGCTTGAGCGCGGGACTAAGGTCGTGCCAGGTGAACTAGGTAATCAGTGCATTTGCGAGTGTGGATAGCCCACTTGCGACTATAGACAGGCCATTTTCGGGAGCCCAAAAAGCCTTCTCGTTTTGCTCAGCTCAGTCCTGTAAAGTCTTCTGGTCCTGCTCTGTCCTATGGGAAGTATCTAGGCTTTTACGTATCTAGACACTTACGCAGCTCCTCCAATAACGGTCGCTTGAGCGCGGGGCTGAGGTCGTGCCAGCGCGGCGGCAGGTGGCGCAGGCGCTTGGCGCGCACGCGCGGGCCCGGGCACGTGGGCACGGGGCAGCGCGTGTAGCGCGACCGCACGCAGCGGCAGTGCACGGCTCGAGTGTGGATAGGGCACTTGCGAGTGTGGGAAGTCCCTTTGCGAGTGTGGATAGTCCATCTTCTGGAGCCCAAAAAGTCTTCTCGTCCTGCTCAGCTCGGTCCTGTAAAGCCTTGTCGTCCTGCTCGGTCCTATGGGAATTATCTAGACTGCTCCACTTAGGTAGCACCTCCAATGGTAGTCGCTTAAGCGAGTTGCGAACGTTTTCTTGTTGAACTAGCTAGACTATCCGGCTCTTCAGTTGACCTGTAAGACTTATAAGTGTCTAGGCTGCTCCACTTTCGTATCTTCTCCAACAGCGGGCGCTTGAGCAGGTGTCTGAGGCCGTCCGTCTGAATTAGCTAGCTTCCAGGTCTTCGGTTGACCTGTGAGACCTATGGGATATATCTAGCCTACTCCACTTACGTAGCTCTTCCAACAACGGCCGCTTGAGCGCGGGGCTGAGGTCGTGCCAGCGCGGCGGCAGGTGGCGCAGGCGCTTGGTCCGTTAGTCCTGTGCTATCACTTGACCTGTAAGTATCTAGACTGTTCCACTTACGTAGCTCCTCCAACAACGGCCGCTTGAGCGCGGGGCTGAGGTCGTGCCAGCGCGGCGGCAGTGGCACGGCTCAAGAACGTATAATACACTTGCGAGTGTGTATAAGTCACTTGCGAATGTGGATAATCCATTTGCGAGTATAGATAACCCATTAGCAAGTGTGGATAGGCCTTTTTTCCTGTGGGAAGTTCACTTACGTAGCTCCTCCAGCAGCGGCCGCTTGAGCGCGGGGCTGAGGTCGTGCCAGCGCGGCGGCAGGTGGCGCAGGCGCTTGGCGCGCACGCGCGGGCCCGGGCACGTGGGCACGGGGCAGCGCGTGTAGCGCGACCGCACGCAGCGGCAGTGCACGGCTCGAGTGTGGATAGGCCACTAGCGAGTATGGATAGGCCACTTGCGAGTGTAGATAGGCCAGTTGCGAGTATGGATAGTCCATTTGCGAGTGTGGATAGTCCATTTGCGAGTGTGGATAGTCCATTTGCGGGTATGGATAGCGCATTTGCGAGCATGGATAGGCCATTTTCGGGGGACCAAAAAGCCTTCTCGTCCTGCTCGGTCCTATGGGAAGTATCTATCTAGGCTGCTCCATTTACGTAGCTCCTCCAATAGCGGTCGCTTGAGTGAGTTGCTAAGGTTTTCAAGTTGAACTAGCTAGCTTGACCGGCTCTTCAGTTGACCTGTAAGACCTATAAGTGTCTATGCTTACGCAGCTCCTTCAGCAGCTGGCGCTTGAGCGCGTGCCACGGCTCAAGTGTGTATAGGCCACTTTCGTGTATGGATAGGCCTTCTTTCCTGCTCAATCCTGTGGGAAGTGTACTTACGTAGGTCCTCCAATAACGGCCGCTTGAGCGCGGGGCTGAGGTCGTGCCAGCGGCAGTGACAAGGCTCGAGTGTGTATAGGCTCTTTCGAGCCTGGATAGTCCATTTGCGAGTATGGATAGTCCATTTGCGAGTGTGGATAGGCCTTTCTTCCTGTTCAATCCTGTGGGAAGTGTACTTACGTAGCTCCTCCAACAATGGCCGCTTGAGCGCGGGGCTGAGGTCGTGCCAGCGCGGCGGCAGGTGGCGCAGGCGCTTGGCGCGCACGCGCGGGCCCGGGCACGTGGGCACGGGGCAGCGCGTGTAGCGCGACCGCACGCAGCGGCAGTGGCACGGCTCGCATACGCGCGCACCTGCTGCCTCCTCCTGGGAGAAACAATTGAAAAATTGGTACTCATAAGCATATACCTTAATTCTTTAGAAATTTCCTCAAATGTAAACAAACACTTGTGCACACAATTACACCATAATCACTTACGTGTTCATAATATCATACACATTATTTCACAAGCCCATGAAACCAACTTTATTCTCACGATTATACAAGTTTGGAATCAATCTTTAAACAAATTATTTTAGCAAAATTATGTGAAAGATGAAAATTTGTGAGACTTGTTAAATTGACTTGAAGTTTAAAATTATGTGTTATCTCCATGTTGTCTCTGACACATCAGTTACAACACTGTAAGTCATAGACAATAATCGGTAAATTTAATCGATTTTATTTCAATTATTCAATTATTTTTATTACTGATTCCATTTAAATAGATTTAAATAGGGTCTTAATCAACAATGTATTTTTTCTTTATTGAATGTACTACTAATTGTTTAATGCATTGCTTTATAAAGCATTATAAATTATTTCTATAGGTACGTAAGTACTACAATAATTTAAATCCGCGATTTACGAGAGGTTTTGTCGTCTCACTAGGGCACAGATTAAAAATGTTTTAATGTCAGTTGGCCATATTTGTTTACATTTAGGGAAATTTCTAAAGAATCCGACTTTAGCTACTACCGTATCAACAGAGATGAGTAGGTCATCTTCATAGAAACGCCCGAGCGCGGTTTGTATGTGAGCGCGCCAATACGTATGCGGCGCGCACGCACACACTGAAAAAATTTAGCGTGGATCAGCGGTGAGGTGCGCTCAATGATACGAGGCTCCATGGGCGTACCCAACTTCTGGAAAAACATACCCAGCTTCTGGCATATTGGGCAAATCAGTTTTTTTAGGTCAGATAGTTTGATACCGACTTCCAGGGGAGGGGGGACAGCTGGACCCCCTGCCCCCTGGGTACGCCCATGCGAGGCTCTCTAACTTGAGGTATCCATGAGCGTAGTTAACGCCGTAGCAATGATTTTGGGCTCTCCAGCTATAGGGGGCCCACAACGCCGGATTTGTCATTGGGCAGAAGGCCTGGGCAAAAACTAGCAAGCTTAACCCTTAACCAGGCTCTGGTATCCACAGAGTCCACATCAATTTGAACTTTATGCTGACTGAAGATACGGTTGAAAACCAATGACTTTTTTGAGCCTGGTTAAGGGTTAAAGAAAAATCTGAGTCTGAATAGAATTTATAACGCACACGTAGACAAAGTTCACTCCGAAGTAACTTCGCTTCATGGAGTGAAAACTATCACGAATGTTCTGTGTGGAGAGGCTGAAGAATTAGCTTATCTTATTTCTTGTGGGCATGAGATTCTTCTAAAAGCATCCGACTTTCTAGACTCTAGAGAGGCTAAAATGTTTTAAGTAAACTGTCATTAAACTCACTTGTAGTCCATAATGTGCCGCGCGCGCTCTTGAAACGGTTCGGGTCGCGTTCGGCGCTCCGCACACCGCGCACGCACCGCTCGGCGCACTGGCGACCGTCGTGACGGCCGTGACGGTGACCGCCGCGGTCGGCGTCGCCGTCGCTGTCGTCACGAGGCTTGGCGTCGACGTCACCGGGCCCGGTGTACTGCAAGGTGGTATGCTGGACGGCGTACTGACGCGTTCCGTAACCGCTGCGGACAAAGGTTATGCTCATAAAAACTCATAAACCTAATTTATTTATGCAAGAAGAATTTTAAAAAGCACTATTACACGTCCCAGTATTAACCCTACCACTGCTTCAGGACAATAAATGGGCCAGTGCTGAGAAGAAGCAGCGCAAGAAACTTACTTCCCTAAAGACTTCCACTGCTGGACAAAGGTTGGTCAATGATTTCCACAACGACCGGTCCTGTGCTATTCGCGACCCTCACCAGATCTTTGGCCCACCGAATGGAAGGCCTATCTACACTACGACTTCTGGCGGTCAAGCTGTAGATCCTGGCTACACAGGAGTTGCAGCGGTGGGAACGAGAGGTGGGAATAGTCCCGTTATACTACGTCTACTGGAGGTGGCCATTCGAGAACTTATCAGCCATAACGGATAGCTACATTCTCCGCCTGTCGTATGATTCTAACAGAAAAGATTAGGATTTGAAAAGATTTTAGATTGCCATACCTTCTTTTAAAATAAACAACTTGAAAAAATCGAACTGCCTTAGGCGGGACTCAAACCCACGACCTTCCGCTTGCCGGGCTCTTCCAACTGAGCTACTTAGACACTGGATGAACCAGTCGAAATTTTCAAGTGTAATACGCTGTTATGGCCGCGTTTTAGTTCGATTTTTTCAAGTTGTTTTGTTTATTTAAAATTTAGTTTGAGAAGCGACTCTATTCGCTAAGAAATTTTAATATTGCCATACCTTCTGTTGACATTTCACTTATTGAACTCCTAAATTAAATTCAAACTAGACAAACTTCATCAAGTCACTGCTTACGCTTTGAAAAGACAAATGCATGTAATCTAGAACTTAAACCCACATTTACATGCTACATAGTAAGGATAAGTCTAATTAGAAGATTTAATTAGAATTATTTAGTGGTTAATGAGGACGACGTTCGAGGTCAATTCCATTTTTTAATGTAACGTAAAGATAATTGTCTAGTGTAAACTTTCATTTATTTTTAGATAAGAAAGTATTAAATATTCAGTAATATCCAACTGAATTATCCTACTAATATTATAAATGCGAAAGTTCGGACAATACATACATATTGTATGGATGTCTGGATGGATGTTTGTTACTCTTTGTGACAAACTAAATTTCACCCGGATGAAGCCGCGGGCAAAAGCTAGTGTTTAATAAAAATGTATTCCATTCCATACAAAATGTGTCCTAGATACATTAAATTGTTTACAATTAAAGGATGATTCTAAACCTGAGTTGCACAACCTTATTTTAACCGTGACTATTATAACCATAACCGGTGTTTTTGTGTGGAGTTTAACATTTTGGACGTTTGTTAAAGTTGAAGTAAGATGGTGCAACCCGGCCTAAGACAAGCCATGTTCCACGCCACTATTTTGACAAATAACATACATTTCTTAGAATTTAATTCAACGTTATTGATCTTATTCCTGAACGCTACAATGTATCATTGATAATGTATCCCCAATCGGTTGTTATTAACGGGAACCGATCCCGGGACGCATAATCAGCCGCGCTGAATTCACCATGAGCCGCCATGTTTGGTACACGTCAGTCTCTAAATTATTCGCTACTGAAGTTTTATTGATAGGCTTTTGTTTATTTTCAAGAAGTTTAACAAAACCAGTAAAGGTCCCATGGAAAAGTTGAACTGTCATTGCACCAGCAACGAAATTAATCAAAAGAAAATTA